GCAGAAGCCATTTCCGCTGCTGGGAGCCTTTCTTGTGCGAGGCTGTGGGCGCTAGCAACGGCACGGGCAAGGAGGAGCAGCTGCATCACTTGCATCCCTGGTTATTGCTGCAAATACCCCAAACGTGACGCAGTCAGACAGCAGATCTCCAGGCCAGGTCTGCCCACGGCTGGTTTCAGAAATGGATGAGCCATTTCTGTGAACGAGCTCAGGGAATACCCCGATACCAGACGTTGCCCTCCACCTGCTGGTGTTAACATGCTCGGGTTTTAGCCTCATTTTCTCAGGAAGCCTCAGGTCCAGGAGCAGACCTTGACATGTGGAAAAATCTTTTTGCCCTTCCTGGTGCAGGACAAAGAGACCACATGGTGGGAGAAGGGATTCCTCTGCAAAGGTGGTTTTAGTGTGTACAAGGTGGGTTTAAGCCAGTAGGAACTTACACTGGTCATTGCTGCATTCCTACAACTCACAGAGCTTTTGGTGCCAACCCTATAGACTGTTTTTTCTGATAAAGGAAGAAACAGAACCTCTGAACAGTCTTGTTAACCCACTGAGCATCCTGAAAACGTTTAAAACCAATTGCAGATGTCAGCATCTCGCTGCCAAAAGGGTGGCTGAGACTCTTCCTGCTACATTTTGTTCCAGCACGAGTCATTTGCACAGACACAAGACCTGCAGCTGGGTGCCTTGTCAGAAGCATTGGTGCAGAGGAGCTGGTAAACTCTGCCCCTGGTGTTGCTCACATGATTTGTTTCACAGACGTGAGAGGGTTTAGCTTTGGGGCCAGTAAGCTCAAAATCAGACCCACCAGGACACTTTTATACCTTTAGATTCCACACCTCTGGCCTTGAGACCTTGAACTGCCTTTAGATGAACTGGCTGCAGGGTGGTGAGTGATGGTGGTAGAGGTTAGGTCGGGATGAAGCCATCAGGAGATGTCCAGGTTGGCTGATGCACTGACCTCCTGCTTCTCATGGTTACCCTGGCAGGGAGAGCTTGGCTTTTCTGCTGTTTGGGAGATGTCAGCCCTCTGCTGCTGCCCAATCCAAGGCCAACCAAGCAGCACCTCCAGCCAAGCAGCGTCAGCAGGAGCTTTTTGCACGCTGCTTTCTTTTAATAAGGTGCCAACCCAGAGGCCTTGCACAAGACGCCTCACACTGATAGGAAGTTCAAGCAGTGGTTTGGTGCAGCCTGGGGGCCACGTGCAAGCTGCAGCAACCATCGGACAGAGCCTGGGGACAAGGAGGCTTCAGCCCAGAGCATCCTGCTTGGCTGCCCAGCTCCCAGCCCAGCCCTGCAGATAGAGAACCCACACAGAGCCATTGCAGGAAAACCACAGTGATGGGCAAGCAGCCACAGCAAGAGATAGATTAACCCACTCAGCTTCCAGCAGCGTGACTAAATCCCTGCCAATATCCAAGGAAACTTAGTAGTCTTCCCTTGTGTTTTCC